GGCGCACCCCGCATCCCCTGCGCGCCCCGTCCCTATGTGCCCCGTGTCCTGCACCGCCCGTCCTGCTGGGGCCAAGGAGCCGCTGGAGATGGTCGGGACTTTCCCGGGTGACTGGCCGAACGGGGGCTCCGCAGAGGCCGAGGGAAACTTGAGGACTTTGGGTATGTCCCCAAGGTCGCATTCTGCAAGCAGGCCTGAGCACCGAGACCTGCCTGCTTCCTGCTCGCGGGCGAGACCGGCCAGAGCTCTTGCTCCAAGCAGCCATGCTGAGCACCAGCTGCGGCTCCATCCCCTTCCAGCTCCATCCAGCCACACCACCTGGAGAAGGGCTTTGGTCTGCTCCATTCACCCTTCCAGATGGCTCGAGAACTCAGCCCAAACCCTGAGGATGGGTTTGAGGCTTTACCACAAAGCCAATAGGCAAGTCCAGCTTGCCTTAACGTTAGATGGACAGTGAAGAGACAGAGGCGCCCAACAATCACAGAGAAAGGGTGCCTGGTCCCAGGCAGCACGGTCTGGTGGGGACAGCAGGCTGCTGACACCAGGGTCTGCTCCAGTCTATCCCTTGCCACCTAATCTTGCCACCTCATATTGCTCCAGCGTCTTGGTGCACAGACCCACAGGGTAAGTAGGAAAAATAATGCCAGGGAGCTGCCAGCAAACCAAGCCTTCTTCGCGCCTCCTTTCCAGGCGAGTGGGTGAGCAGCAGCTTTGCTGCAGGACGCAGCAGAGATTTCTTCCCCCGCAGAGCTTTGCCAGCGTGCAGGGCTGAGCGGGCACCAGCCTCCCCACCTGCGCGGTTAGCACTCATCCTAACACGTGGATGAGAGGAGCCGAAGGCAGCCTGGGCTTTTGCTGCCCTGCCGGAGAGTTTTCCCGTGGAAGATGTGACAGCCCTCGTGGATGATCACAGAGAAGCGCAGGGTCCCCGAGACCCCTGAGGGCCAAGGGGAAGGTGTCTGGGCAGCAGCCCGGGCTGCTGACGCGGGAGCCCAGGCAGGACCTGCCTGGGGGGCAGCCGGGCTCCCGGCCGGAAGCAAGGTGCAGATGTGAGCTTTGAAAGACAGATCGGAGCTACCGCTTGCTCCCCTGTGACCGGAGCAGCCCCAAAGCGTTTCACGGGGCTGGACGTGGTGAGAACGG